GCGGCGTCCGTGACTGTGAGTCGTCGGTTGCCGTCGGTGCGCGCGACGGTGGACGATTTCTTGGGGGATTTCGGGGCGAGGGACCCTTTCCCTGCTGAGTTGGAGAGTGGGTTCGGAGAGAAAGTGTTGGGATACGGTAACACTGAGCACAAAATTCTTATCCCCAATATCTCTGCTCTCTCCCTCTCGCAGCAGGACTGTGCCCCCATTTCCCCTCTCCAGCCCCCCATCTCCAAAGATGATGCACAAACGCTCGTTCGAAAGGTAACAACCATATCTCTTAATATATAATTAAATTATGATAATAGTGTCCAGTATTTATTAAAAGAAAAAAAAAATGCATCAATTTTTTAGACTGAATTATAATATATATTTTTATGTGAAATTATGAAACTTAAATATATTTAATGATTTTTTTAATATATATACTTGGATGGGTTCTTTTTCACACTGGTGTATTCTATACCTACTGTAGGAAATGGAAGAATATCTGGTCTTAAAAATGTAACAATATCTCATAATATAAGATGCGCTGTTGCCTTGAAAATGGTTATTAATACAACGATTTTTCCATGACAATTGACAAGGAGGGAAGCAAAAGGCTTTAAGATTTTTTTTAATTTTTAATTTTTTAATTTTTTTATTATCTCTTTTGAAGGTTTGACAAATACAAAAAAGATGAATATCTCTTTTCAACTTGAGTTTGATGCATTCTTAAGAGTTGGAACACACCACTTGGCTTTAAGAATATTTGATTAACCGGTTGAATGGGGGCAATTTATTTTTATGATTTTTTCCTTCTCAATCTGTTCCTTTGTAATGGGTGTTAGTTTTATAAACTCTCAAACACCGAATTGTGAGATGTTATAAATAGTTGAGAGAAATAGGGAAATAAATGGTATAAATTGTTGGTTGAATAACACATTTCTTTATTTTATATACTAAGGTCTGACTGAAAAAAATTCTCACCAAGTATTTATTAGAAAAGGAAAATATAAAATTGTCAATTTTTTTAAAATTAAAATTAACTTATACATAAATCTAAACTAATTTTTGAACGAAGTTAAATGCAAAAGTTTATATATATATATATATTAACTTATATATAAATTAATTTTAAATTACAAAGATTTTTTTTTGCTTTTCTTTTTTTATTTTCTTTTCTCATACGTACATGTTGAAAAATTTATCCAAATAAGAGTTAAAAAGTAAGAAGTACATGTCCCGACTGGTTTAGCAAATTTTATTCATAGTTGGTTAAAATATTCCTCCAAAAAACTAAGGAGTAAATCCTCGTTAACTATTTTTTTTTTTATATATATTTTTATTTATGAATATCCTTGTTAACTATGTGGGTTATAAGGAGTGAATTATTTGAGTTTAACTGATTTAAAACATTCTTTCTAACATATAGGTTAGGGTTTACTATCTTTTTGACGATTTTAGCCTTAGGAGTATTATTGTAAAATATCTTATGACAAATAATATTTCTAAAAAAAATTGATTTTTTATCATTTCAACCAGTGGGATAAGAATATTGAAGAAAAATTAGTCTCTCCCGTGCATCCTGTTAAAATTTTACATTAATCAGTGTTGGTCAAGTGTTATCGATGTTGTGGTATGGCTTGTCTCTATTTACACTCAGGATGTGGTACTCTGGTATAATGTCATGTATTTTGGGATAATGTGTAAATCAGGTGATGATGATAAAACACAACTACTCTTGATCAAAAGATTTTGATACCATGAAGATGCACGTCTTCTTTTGCCAATTTTTTAGAGTATATATGCATTATACAGAGTGCATGTCGAAGGTTTTATGAGGAAATAAGGGTTCTTAAGTTGTGGGGCTTGTGATAAAAATATGGTGAATACAGTGTTTGAATGCAATGCTGCTCTAAATATGATGAATATAATAAACTTTGTGATAAATCAACAAGCCAACCATTTTTTTATGCTCTGTTCTGAAAAATTTATCAATGATATTGAAGAAGCATTTAGTTGGACGTTTAGTACCATTAGCATTTTGAGTGGTAAATACTAAATTGCATGCCCTTTTATTATATTTATTTAGTTATAAAATTAAAAAAAACTTAACATAATTACTTGGTGGTGAATTTATATTTCTAAAAAAAGTTGAAATAACTTACCTTGTGGTCCATTTTACTTTTTCCACCTTAAACTTATTTTCTCTTCATTTCTGTAGGTTGTGGGTTGGAGACTTGTGGATGAGGAGGGTGCACTTAAACTAAAATGCTTGTGGAAATTGAGAGATTTTAAATGTGGGGTTGAACTCATTAACAGGATCTCTAAGGTTACAGAGGCTGCAGGCCATTTCCCAAATATATACTTGGAACAACCGAATCAAGTCAGAGCAGAACTATGGACAGCTTCCATTGGTAACAATAAATTTGCAACCTTGTGTACCACTTTCAATATCATAGAAAATTTTCATTTTAGTTGCATCACATCAAAATCCCTAAATATTCAACTTTCATTTTATTTAGCATTCATTTTAGTTATTGCTTGCAAGTTCAGGGTGTTCAACACCCCCCACACGGAACATCTAGGCCATAGTGGGCTCTAGTACCAATGTTTGTGTGTATAGGGTTTACTCATTATATATATCTCAAATATTGAAGTTACTTAAATAAGAACACTTATTGAAAAAAATTGAGAATAATAAGTATTGATCATTGAATCTTATTTGAACGGTCAAAATTAAAGCTAAAAACAACTTGTTTTTAAGCAGTCATGCAATTATTAACTTGTAAAGTGAACTATTCATGTATGATTATATAATTAAAAGTTATTATTCTTATGCCCCATGTATATTTATATATCAGATTAAACTATCTAAGTTTTTGATTTTTTATTTTTATTTTTTTAAAAATAATATAAAAAAATGGTTGCTACGTGTGATATAGAAAGGTTGAACAGTATTTAAATATTGTGGCGGTTTAAAACCGCTGAAAATATATTTCTTTTGTGGCAGTTAAAGTAACCGCCAGAAATATAATTTTTTTTTGCGGTTTTTTGAAACCGCCAGAAAAAAACCCCCACTAATTACATAATTTTTTATAGTGTATGCAGGTTGTGACACACTCAACCCCTCATGGATAATACCTTGAAACTAAAATATTTGAAAATAATATGGAATTAAATAATTCCAAATGAAGCTAAATGGTCTCACATCTCAAGTTCAAAATCCAATAGAATACTAAAACTATCATAAAATTATAAAGAGTTTCAAGAAAATGAACTAAAATTCTTAAAACGGAAAACATGAAATTTTATTCCAAAAATCCTGATGTCACGGGTATTAGAGTTATCCCTCGCATCAATTAAACTCTTCCAAAAGAAAGTATCCTCCAAACACATATAAAAACAATCAATAATAAAAATATTGGAGCGAGAACATATCTCACTTCGAATATCGGTGTAAAATATGGTCGGGTAACCACACAAAGTAAAACACTTAAACATAATATTTGTAACATTAATCAATCCATATACTAATATGGCGTGGCAATCAAAACACTATTCCACATTTCATATTTTAGCAAATTACACCTACCAAAACCTCTACCTTATACTTCTAAAAACATTTATTTCAATGAACCAATTCATATTACCGAGTAGTAATGCATGTTTAACTTGATACTTCTCTACCTTCCCTAATTTATAACAAAAACACTTCCAAAGATGACCCCCAAATCATAGAAACTTTTTTCTACAATCGTTTTTATTCTTCCTTGAGTAACCCAAACACTCATGCACTATAAATACCACAAGGTTTACTATAATTAGGGAAAGTGGGACAAACATAGTATTCAACTTACACAAAATTTTAGTAAGGATTTATACATTTGGTGATGGAGACATGCTTTGGAACCGGATTGATGTTGATTCCTCTTCAAGTTTCTCCCTAGATCTCTGACTCCTTGATACTTCTCAAGCTTTTCCAAAGCTTCCAATGGAGGAGAAGCTTCGGATTTCACCAAGGTTTGGTGAAGAACACTCTTCAAGAGGCACCATTCCTTGGAAGACAGATAAGCCACTTCAATCCTCACCACAATCTTTCTTGAAGCAGAGAAGAGAATTGGATGAATATCAAAGAGGTTAATGACTTTTAGAAGAGAGAAATTGGCTGAACAATTTCAGAATTCACTCGATATATCATCAAAAAGTGATTACAAAGGTGAGAGAAAGGCTTATACAGAGTAGGGAAATTTGTGGTGCAAGCTAGGCTAACTATGGTTCAAGAGAACCATGGTTAGCGTAACTTGACCAACCTAGTTGATTTAAGAGGCTTGTGGAGCAAGCTTCTAACTTAGAAGCTTGGGAAGCAAGCTAAGTTAGAAGCTTGTAGCACAAGCTTCCCAAGTGTGCAAGGTAAGCCAAGCAATTTGGCCAATGGAACTAGGCTAGGCGGCCAAGCCTTGGAATTCCATATTTAATCCAATCCAAAAACTTGGAATTGGTTTAGTTAGGTTCACCAAATGATGGTGAGACCTAGCTAAATCAATTCCTTGGAAAAATATGGAGTAAAAAAAGCCCAATATGTAAAATTTGGCCTAGGCCCAATTCTAGTCCAATTACTAGTTGCACTTAAATACCATGGTATTTGTCACCCCACTTCTACTACTAAAAATATGAAAATGAATGATCCTTAATACAAGGTCAAATGGAGAAAAAGTCTCCAAGTAACATACCCTAAAATCCTAAAGGATAACCTGTAACAAAAGAAAGAAAGTGCCTCACAAATACAAAGGTAAAATACATAGTTTGTGGAAAAGTTTGTTTTATTTTTTCTTCTTATTTTCTTTTCCATATTTATCTATGGGATGCTGTAGGAAGAGCATTTTCATTAAAATGACATTCTAATTAGTTTCTTACACCTGTTCAGCATTTGAAAGAGGATATGGACTGTAGGAAGAGCATTTTCATTAAAATGACATTCTAATTAGTTTCTTACACCTGTTCAGCATTTGAAAGAGGATATGGACATTTTTTCCTTGTGGTATTACCATTGTTGTCTTCCAGAATGTATTTAAGGGCTTTCAAACACTGTTCAAAATACATGTTCATTTCAATCTCCAGTCAAATGTGAAATGTGCGATGCTAGATGGTTTTTTTACTCACTGAGGGTAATTTAGCTTATCTTTGGAATCCATTATATAAATCTTTTCATGTGTAACTCAAATCTGTTATCACCTGCTGGCCTAGTATCCTTTGGTGTCATATAGTTGTTATTATGTTGTTGAAAGCAGAACACTTCAAATCCCAAGACCAAAGGAAATCTATAAATAAAAAGGAAGCTTCCAAGATATGGATGCAAAATAAGAAATAAAGTGGAAATTGACTTATTACTGTTAGCAAAGCGAGTTAATGAGAAGGTGCTAATGAAATTGATGGGTTAAATATGAATGGTTGAGAATGATGGTTTATTTCTCAATTGTACAAAGTAATACAGATGGTAAAAAAACTATCCTTCAATTTAACAATAAATGGTTGAATTTTTCTCGAACTTTACTGTCAATATAACACTTATATGGATTACTACTACATTTTTATGATTAAAAGTTTCTGACCATGTCTGTAACTTGGGGTATCTGTCAGTTCATATCAGACCTTTACTTTATTTCACTGGCGGAAAAAAACATGTCATGCTTAAAATTTTTCCTATTTAAAGTTTTCCCCATCTACCTTTTCATGTTTTTAAAGGGAAACAATGTAAGAAGCATCTCGTTTTCTTGGCCTTTTATTTTAAGAAAATATGTTGAATACTGCAGAGCAGATGTATAAGGAAAGCTGGATGTACCAAAATCACTGCAAAGTTAGAGCTGAAACCACCACCATATCCACTGGTAAGATTTAATGTTTGTCCATTACCCCGTTTACCTAATAGAATTACGTGTGCTAGGATCCAATAGCAATAGGACTTGAGGTCCACATTGCAAGTACAGTATTCTGGTGTGGGGATTTAAGGCCTTGAACTTTCCAACTACAATGGTTAACTTTTGTGGCATGGTTCTCCCAAGGTTTTAATCAAATTGTTCTTCTAGTTGGCTAATTTTTATTGGCACCTATGCTTCAAATGAAACATGCGGACTCCCAAATATTAGATTTAGACTGGCTTTATCATTTTCAAATTTATATTTGTTATTGTTAGAGGCCAAATTACAAATAAGGCAATGAAAGTGTAGAATAGGGAATTACTTGTATTATTTACAGGAAATAAAGGAAAATGCAGAAGGAATGAATCCAATGGCCACAAAGCTAGGCTCCTACAGAGAGGCTAGTGCCCCCTGTCCATAACAGAATAGGAAGAGCATTTTCATTAAAATGACATTCTAATTAGTTTCTTACACCTGTTCAGCATTTGAAAGAGGATATGGACATTTTTTCCTTGTGGTATTACCATTGTTGTCTTCCAGAATGTATTTATTTTTCTTTGTTTTACCTCTTTCAAAGGGATCCTTGGGAATTAGATTTCCATTATTTGGCCTTTCATACATGGAATACATCTAATCAACCTATAAAAAAATTATTCCCATTACTCCCCAAAAGCTAACTAGACACGCCATTGAAGGAAACATTAAGGAATTCTCTAACATTAAGGAAAAATCTTCAATGAAGAAGAAGTAAATGTCAAAGTACTAAAGTCACTAAATAGGAGATGGAAACCTACGGTGACAGCAATCCCTAAATCTAAGAATCTGGCTCAAATGACAAGTGTTGAGTTATTTGGGAAACTTAGAGAATATGAGATGGACATAACAAGAATTGCGGAAGAAGAACAAAAAGATAAGAAAATCAAGGGTCTTGCACTAAAGTTGGAAATCTCTTCAAGTGAAGAAGAAGAGGTAGCAATGAGGACAAATTTGAACTAGAAGAATTGAATTTAATGGTAAGGAAATTCTGGAAGTTCATGAAAGAGAAGAACAACAAAAGAAATTCCTCAAAACAAAAAATATTCTTCAGAAAAAGTGACAAGTCCTCTCCAAAATTCAAATGCTTTGAATGTGGCAAAGCTGGACATATAAAGGTTGATTGCCCCAATCTAAATAAGAAAGGACAAGAGGAAAAGAAATCAAAGTTCAGATCAATGAAAACGAAGGCGTATATAGCCTGGGAAGAAAATGACTCAACAACTTCTAGTGAGACGGATAGTGAAGAAAAGGAAAATTTGTGTCTCATGGATAATCATGAAAATGACTACGAGGAAATTGATTCTGGTTCTTCTATTTATTCATATGATCAATTATATGATGCTTTTTGTAACTTGTATAAAGAAGCTAAGAAGTTAAGCTTTGAAAACAGATATCTAAAAGGAGATATTAAAGAAATGGAATTGAAAATCTATTTTCTTGAAAAAGATATTAATTTGCTCAAATCTGAAAATGAGAAATTGAGATTTCCTTGTTTAGAATGCAAAAACTTATACACTGTTTTGAAAAAGAGAAATGAAGCATCAATGAATAAAAACAAATCCATTACTTCTCACATTTCATGTAATTATTGCACGAAACCTGGACATAGCTCTTATAAATGCATGATAAGGAAATTTGGTGTTCCATGTGAAAAGTTTGTATGGAT